TATAGGTATGTTTCTCGTTAGTATTTTTATATCTCGATAAAATGTATATAGAGTGCAATTAGAACATCTTCTTTATTAGTGATGATTAAACGCATAAAAAAAAAAATAATTAAACGAAAAAGGAAAAAAAAAAAAAAAAAAAACAGGAAAAAAGAAAAATAATATAAAAAAAGATAAAAAAAAAACCTACGATACACACAGAAAACACACGCCGCTACTTACTACTATCTTATTACGAGGATAGTTGCGAAGAAATCAGAGCAAAGGAGGAGGAGGAGGAGGAGAGCCTATGGAATACAAAAATTCAATTAAAATAAATCAAAGATGAAATTAATGAAATATTGAAATTAAATGAAAAAAGGAGAAAAAAAAAATGATAGTTGAATATGTTCGAGAATGTTTGTTAGAGCAGCACACCCATTACTACACCACACACTCATCATACACGACGCACGCAATTCTACTTTTAACGATTAGATTTTATTCAATTCTCGAACGACCTCACTAATTTTATATTTATACATTATATATGTATATATGTATGTGTATTATATATATTCATATGTAATATATACACATAGATTGTTTATTATATACATGTATACCTATGTGTAATATATATATGTATATATTACATGTACGTATAGACAGATATATATATATATATATACACATACATAAATATATACATATATAAAGATTAAGAAGAAGATAATGTTGATAAGTAGGCTACAGTAGCCTCGAATCGCATAAAAAAATACTTAATTTAAATACCTACATCGTTGAACTTTCATTATCGATCGTACCATAAATATCTCTCTTATGATTCGTAGTGATAAGAAGAAAGTCGAATAATAATAATAATAATAATAATAATAATAAAAAGAAAGAGAAAGAAAGAAAAATGGAAAGAAAGAATAAAAATAATTTGTTTCGTGCGATTGCCATTTTCCACCTTTCCATCGGGGTAATGTATAAAAAGAATACTTGCCGTTTGTTGAACATGGAGATCGCGTGGTAAAGTAGAACGCTACCGTTTTCATCGGTGGTATTTTATTTATATTTTTTAAATAAATTTTTCTTTTTCTTTTTTTTCTTTTTTTTTTTTCCAATTTTTTTTTAAAAACTTACTACAATATATCTTCCCTTTTCTTTCCTTTTCTTGTTTGTTTGTTTTTTTTTTCTTTTTTTTAATTTGGCGATCTCGCGTTATACGAATTTTATTAATCATTTTTATTATTGTAAAATAAATTAAAAAAAAAGAAAAGAAAAGAAAAGAAATATATACAAAGGAGAATAATAAGAGAAACAATTCACGTTAAGAGGTACCTGTATAAAATCGAGAAATATTTTATTATTCATCGATTCCAGTTTTATGGAATCCCGATGAATATTTTGTTGTTGTACGAACGTGAATCGTAACAAAAAAAATTCTTTTACTTTTATTCCCTTTTTATTTTTTTTTTCTTTTTCTTTTTCTTGTAACATTCGTCGTCATTTAATTTATATTATATCATGCAATCACATATATTTCCATAAACAATTTTTTCATACAAATGACGTTCTTCCAATTGTATTTTTTCGAAGGATATATATATATATATACACCGAAACATACTCGCATATAAACTTACACACATATACACATACATACATAATACAGTAATCCCTTCATTTACGCGGATTTCCTTTAAACGCGCATGAATTATCTGAATGCACCGCGACGTGTTATATTATGTGAAAACTGAAATTCATTATCAACGTAATTTCATTTCTTAATAATAATAATAACGTTAATTTACTTTTTTTATTTAAAAAAAAAAATGAAATACATATTAGAAAATGTTCAAGCGGTTTTTATTTTTTTAAACGACTTTTCATGGTTCCTTTCTCACCCCCACCACCTCCCCCCATTTACTTTCGTTTGTTGGTGATTGTTTTCGAACCAATTAAACTCGAACAAATGAAATAGGATTACTGTACATTATTTATCGATTTCGATCTTATTATAATAAATAAATAAATGAATATCATCCACCCCACTTGCAATGATTTCTTCGTATCGTGTAAAGGTAACTATTAGCGAATCAGAGTGTAAACGAAGTTGTTAAAGATTATTATCTACGCGATTCACAATCATCGTTTCTCAATGCGTACATATTCATTCCATTGGCTCCCCTTATAGGGTTATATACTGATCTAATTAAGTATTTCGTATAAATCAATCAATTAATTAATTAATTAATTAATTAATTAATGAAAAAGACATTTGCGTTGGTTGTTTCGTGTTCGATAAGAAAAAGATTGAAAGGAAGAAAAAAAAAGAGAAAAAAAAGCTCACACACACACACACACACACATACGTTAACAAAACAAAGATTTTTCTACGGCGCACGACAATTTTCAACCTATATGTTCCCGCCACCCCCCCGCCCCTTTTTTCCCACCCTTTTACTTTTCGTTCTCTTTTCTCTCTCTCTCTCTTCCTCTTTTACTTTAACCTTTTCCTTTCTTCTCATCCACTCATTCTCTCTCTCTTTCTCTCTCTCTCTTACTTTTAACTCTTTGTTCCCAATCCCCTTTTTTTTATTCTTCTTCTCTCTCTCTCTCCCTCTCTCTCTGTCTTTCTCTATCTATCTTTCTCTCTCACACACATACTCATTCCCTCTCTGTGCGTTTATTGCGTGTTAGGGGGTTGATCGACCAGGTTTTTGAGAAATACTTTTTGTCTTTCATATTCTCATCCACAGTGACAAAGAAAGAAAGAAAGAAAGAAAGAAATAAATAAAGAATGAAAGAAAAAATAAATAAAATGTCGCTCGATTTGTTGTACCGAGCAGCATTATTCATCGCGAGTGTTACGATTAACAACAACAATACTACCACCACCTGTATCACCATTACTACCACTACTACCACGATGCATTAACATCGGTATTTCTAATTGTACATAATAGCGTGTAAACGGTATATTAGAAGTAACGTTATCTTAATTCATTCGTTGATTTTTTTCTTTTCTTTTTATTTCTTTTTCTTTTCTTTTCTTTTATTCTTCTCTTCTTTATATTTCACGAGTAGAGTGCGGGGGTGGACCGAGTTAAAGAGAAAACAAGGGGTTTGGGTATTGAGGTAAAGGTAAGAAGAACACGTAAGAGAAGGGGGACGGTTGGGAGGGAGGGGAGGGGGGCGAGCGGGGCGGGGGAGAGGGAGAGGGAAACGGTAGATTTCATTTCTAAATAACAAAGCGTTTTCTGTCGGTCGAGAAAGTAGTGTATAAAATTATGTTCGTGACTGTTGCAGCTTTTTCTTCGAGTTAAAGAAAATGGGGTGGTAAGAGAGGATAAGAGAATACGATAGAAAATAAGAAAGAGAGAGAGAGAGATGAACGAAGGATGAGATAGGTCGACCGTTTCGAACGAATATACCGAAAATTTATTGCTAATTTAAAACGGAATAATAATTAAAAGTGATCATTTCTTACGATAATCATATAGAGAAAGACAAATTAGATGGAATAATAAAAGAGAGAGAGAGAGAGAAAGAGAGAAAATTTGGATTAGAATTAGAAGCGAAAATTAGAAAAAGAAAAATAAAAGAGAATGATATACATTAGGAATAGAAAATGAAAAA